GGTGGCTAACTTTTCAAGAGGAGATACCCCAGTGTGTATCTGCCATTGTCCAAGGTACACAGCAACACGCTAAATGAAAGAGAACAGCAGCTTTTTTTTTTCTTAATTCCTTTAAGTGATGCTGTCTGAGGTGTTACTGTCTACCTGAGGGTTATTTCAAACAGACGCGGATGCTGGATCTGATTCACTTGCTGTAACATAATTGACTCAAACCAACTACTTTTAAGTTTCGTTCTTCAGCTCTTTTCAAATTTTTCTTCTTCTGCAAAATAGCCAGGAGGGATTCTTACATGGCCCCTTGCTCGGATGTCGCAGAGTATTTACGACTCACTTTCAAACTCATCGTCTCTCACAGGTAGCAACCAATGGAAATAAGTCCGAGCGAGTATCAAAAGTAGGAGCTACCGTGTGGGTCTGTTTCAGGTACCTTAAGCTCAGCCCTGAAATCCTTTTCTTTGTACAGAGAAAGGTTGTGTTAACCCTGGTTGTAGCACTTATTTGATAGAAAACGCATTTCTTGACTGCAGGAATTGCATGCAATAACCTCATTCCAGTTACTTTCTGGATTAATGGGGAAATGCTGTTCCCTTCCTGTCCCACAGAGGCTAAGCCCAGAGGCTGCGTGCGAAGGGCACTGGTGTTGATGTGGTGCTGGGGCAGAGCAGCCTGTACAGACGCCACTGATCGGTACTGGTTTCCACTGAAGATCTGAGAGGGAGTTACAGGGGAGTGTTTCCCCCTGCCCTCAGCCACTGCCAGTCCCGCCTAGGGGCAAAGAAAATGGCAACCCTGACAGATCAGCTTGGCCCTGTCTCTCTGTGGATCCGTTCTTTCCATAGCCATAGGGTCAGTGGGGTAGCACGGGCAAAAAGCACTGGCTGAGGTAAGTCAGCCTAGAAATGCAGCTTGGGGTTGGGGGCTTTTCTGAGGGCGGGCCTATATGGGAAACGCAGGTAATAAAGAAACAATCCTTTGTTCCTGATGGGTTGTCTGTGTCAGTGTCCAGCATCATGGTGGCAGTTAAAGGAATGAAGGGGTTGTTTGGGCTTCTTTATACCGCCTTGGAGTGAGGAGGCTTTGGCAGAGTCAGGATGAGGTGGTTGTTGCCATGATTCCCCAAGGCAACTGAAGGCACCCTGGGCCACCTTGCTTCCCCCAGGAGCCCTGTGCACCCTGGGTGTGTGTCTCTCTACAGAGAGGGTGGCGGCCACTGCAGCACCCACGTGCGCTCACACCCTCTGGCTGCCGACCCTTTGTGGGGGAGGGAAAGGGAGTAATAGAAGAGCCTCAGGGACAGACATCGCTCACTGGTCGGGACGGATTTTCCTCTGGCTTTGCACAACTGGCATATTGGGGCTTCCACCACAATTTCCCAGCCACATT